TCATACATTTCGATACCGTCTATTAGCTGTTTTGTGACGGTTTCTGTACCGTCCATTCTAGGCAATATAGAGGCCGCCGTTTTAAAATCAAAGCGTTCCATATTTAAATCACCTTTTTCGGCTTCCTGTACAGTACATAAGCTCACTATCTCTCTATATAATTGTTGTATTTTAAGTATATCATCGCTAGTCAAAGTCAAGGTTTGACTTGGTATATTACCTTGTTCTAATGACTGTGACAGACTTTGCTCTAACACATAAAATGTTTTAATTAAGGTTTGCGCCTCACTATATTTATTACTTAAAATATTACCTTTATACCTTTCTTTACTCTTCTTTATTAAGTACGTTCTAATTGCTTTCAGATCTTCATATATGCTAGATAAATCTTTTGCCATAATTATCTTTAACTAGTTTTATTATCATCATAATAAAGTTTTATAAACATTATATTGAAATATTTATATATTTAAACAAAAAATTTCAAACTCTAACTTAGAAAAATTAAATTGACTTACTTACATACGCAGCTGGTAGTACACAATATTTATAATTATTTCTCTCATAAAGAATATAGGCATGAATATATGTTTAGTTTTTATATACGTAATTGAAATGATACAAAATTAAATTTATTATAGCTACATAAAAGTTAAAAAAAAATCAGTTCCTTTATACCGCATCACAACTATTTTTCATATAGCATATTTTTCATTTTTCACTTTTCACACATTACTTTAACCACTATACTCATGCCGTAGTCCCATCATTGGAATCGATTTGCCCTGTTGAACATCTGGCGGGTTTTCGTTACGTCTTCGCCAACTAACCTATATTAGTGATTTCAACGTGAGATTGCAGCTGTTCCACTGAGGCTGCATTGCTGCTCCCTGCTGCGTTTTGGGCTAGGATAACCTCCTCCTTCTCTACTGTTGAACGGCACATCTTTTGGTTTTATTTTGTTCGGTTGCAACGCGCATGAAGTTTAAAAGTCGGAGTAGTAATGCCATAATTAATTTACTGTTATATTATTCCATTAGATATTTGACACTCGCGCGCCGCCGCGCATGGCATGGTCGCCATGTAGAGGCGAAGTTAGTGTAAATAAAACGAGAGTTTGATGAATACTGCTCTTTAATAATTAGGAACAAGTATATACTGGGTGGAACAGAACGACCGACACTCCCGAGGTTCCTGGAGAGTACTATTTGTCTTTAATATAATGTAAAAAAAAATATATAAGTCTAGGTCAAATAGTTTCGGAGATATTAAATTACAAAGTTTTTGAAAACAAATGAGTGTTTTCAACCCTGAGTCAGCTGTTTTTGGGACGTACTAAGGAAAAGTTTTAAATCGGTCATTGACTTCTTCATTTCTTAAAACGAAATAAACTAGTTTGTGATTTAAAAGACTGTTTTCATGCAAATTCTACCAGTCAATCAATAAACAAGGCAGTCAAAATGCTTAAATCGATTTACAGACTAACAGCCGGTTTATGATTGGAAAAAAGTAGAAAATTTCTACTGCTTATTCTCAATAACCTAAGTTTTTTTTAATTTCACAAGTCAAATAGTCTTAGTTTTATCAAACTGCTATCAACTGATCATCAAAAAACTAAAATCGTAAACGAAAACTAAGTGATGTTAGTTTGAAACGTTTAACTTTAAATACTCAATTAAGAAACCGAGTGTAAAATTTCCTAAAATATTGTAGAGAGATCAATATAACATTAACTTACGTTATTTAAAAAAAACAGTTCTCCATAAAAATTGTTTGAATGGGGTAATACTCCTTTAACAACGGGATCGTTAATTAAACTCGATAAACTCACAAATCTTCCAGCGATTCATCATTAACACAAATGAACTTTGTTTTAAAAACATTGAGGAATTTGTTATTAAAATAGCATTTAAAAAGAACTTTAAAAAACGAGTGATATCAAAAGACTAATAAAAATAATATGAACCGAGTTCGTCCCTCAATATCAAAGCCCCGCCCACCCGCCAGCCGCCAGGCGGCTTCATTATTCTGTTGGTATTGTCCGGTCGATCAGTTGTCGTCGACCTTTTGCGCTGGAGTGTTGTTGCGCATCGCCGCCGACGCACCGCTGCGAAGCGTCTTTTTTGTCGATGTTTGTTTTGTTCTAGTGCATTTTTAATTGAATTGTTGTTAATAAGACACTAGAGTGTTCGCCTTGAGTGTTATGTCTAGTTTAGTGAAGATTGTGTTTAGTTTTGTGTGAAATGTGATGTGTTTTGCGCGTGCATACACTGGCATGCAAAAGAGCGTGCTTAGCTGTCTTCAGAGAAGAATTGAACATTTTCAGCATCGACTATCATTAAGATATCGGTAAATAATTAAATTAAATTAAATTAATGTATTTCGCGGTCCGTTGTAATCTGCGCACAATCGATATTGCGCATGCGCGTTAAAGGGCTGTCAACACTTAGAAATTTAAAATTTTTACTAAATTTTTACACCTTCTCTATTTTTAAATATTTGTCAAATAAAATGAACGTTTGCATGTAACCTAACTTGAAACTTTCGGCTGTGTCGGTCATTTTGTTCTTCCCTGTATATGGGGCTCACTGTACATATACGCTTTCCTTATGCAAAAGAAATGCATTATCGCCACATGTGGAATAGGACCAATAGACTCATGTCGACCTCTGTTTCGAAAATTGCAAGTGTTAACCTAGACACGGTTCGCTATAGCTTTGCGTAAATGGTTGACTTAAAAGTCTCCATATATCCTAAATGAATATTTTAATAATAATTAATATAGTCTAATATTTTGACACTAAATAAAATTATATTTAATGTGTCATAACTTTGTTCTTATTCTGAAATTATATTGATTGACCATTCTGTAATAAAATTGTTGTATTCTTGTTTTGATTGATTGGCTTGTGACATTCAAGTGTTTAATTTATATTTAAAAATAAATGAAAAAACCTTTTTGCATGTTATACTTTGGTGAAATACGTGTTACAATAAGAATTGTAACAAACCAGCTATAATGTTACCATGTTTCTTGCAAATAAATTTATTATATTCTACAAATTTTGGTAATGCTCGTATTTCCGTTTATTGAAATTTTCTCTCAAATTACTTTTATACAATTTAGCTTTTGTTTTCAATTTTTCCCAAACTCTTAATAGAGAATCTTTTGATTTGTAAATATCCAAAATATGTATGAATATCTTAAACAACAATAACAGTTGTACATTCCTAAGCTGAAAATGAGCATTGGGTATCTGGTTACCTGTGAGTAGTTGCAGAACTGTTGAATTTAGCTGCAACCGAGACCCAAGCTTTTGTTTTTGCTTCATTTGTAGTCCCATCGCTTCTCTTATTTAATATAGTATCTTTCTACATAGTCAGGATTTTAATTAATTTATCCTTTTCTTCAGAAGTACAGTTTTGTCTGCGTTTACTTTTTTCAGCCATTGTCTAATTACAATACTAAAAAAATAAATTTGCTCTTGTAGAACAATATTCTTTTTCTGAAAAGCTAATTTGTCACGATAAAGTTTTTTGCGAGCCTCATTTCTTGATTTTAACTTTCTTATACATTCCAAAGCTGTGTGATAGCGCTGATATATTCTTTTGTACCGAATTTTTAAAGCCGTATCTATTTTGTTTTGAGGCTTAGATGAAGTTGAAACATCTTTTTGTACTTGACTGTCTCTTGTAACCTTTTTCAATTTTTGCTTCTTTTTTTCCTCTCTCCATTGCTTTCTTTTACTTTCTTGTTCTTCTTCAGTTAAATCCTTAATTTTTTTTCGGTTTTTTTTCAGTCGCTCTAGTTGTTTTGTGCGCTGTTCTTCAAACTTTTAAGGATTTTCTTTAAATTTTTCTCGGTACCTTTTAGCTCTTTCTGCAGCTGTGAGCGGCAGAAAGAGCTAAAAGGTACCGAGAAAAAGGTACCGAGAATTTTATAGGTGGGACATACAAATAATAATAGTTTTTTTTCAATAATTCTGTTATAGTAGATTATTAATTGGGGTTAAATAGTAAGCAAGAGCATGTTTTGTTTTCAAAATATATGTTCTTTACATAAATAATCACTTGTATTATACACCAAATTTCATTAGGTACAACTTTTTTGAAAAATGCCCTCTAGTCTCAACAGGTTTCAATAGCTTGCCGCAATGCGCTAGTGTCGAACTTATTATCTGTGGTACTATTTATGACTTTTGTAGGGACTAGGGATGGGTTTTTTATCGTAACCAATATCGATATTAGTTATGGCCACTCAATAAAAACTTATCAAGATATATAGGTAAAGAACTAAAGTTTATTTAAAATTGAACGAACCATGACAATTTGAAATTCTTATAGAAAGACATTTATTATTAAATAAAACAAAGTCATATCACGATCAAATTAAACTTGTGGTTTGGATAATTATACAAGTTTTTTTTTCGACTCTTATTGAATTTCATTATTGCTTTAGTGCTTGTCCACGTTAACTCGCGGGCGCAGTCACGAAATATCAAACATATGACTTGATTTCCAAGTGTTCGCGTTCAAGACGTATGTTCGATCTAAGTAGCGGGCAAACTGGCGACTGGCGCGCGCGGCTAGCTCGCGGCAATTTCAAACGCCTGAGACGTTTCCGTGTGTTCATGTCATACAAGCGGTGGCGGCGAGCGCATTTCACTCGTGACGTCAGGTAAGTTCAACCAGTTTGAACTTGTCGCTAGAAACGATAACACATTTTTATCATTTCGTTCGATACAGAAGAGTTTATTAGTGCTGTTCAGGCTAGAACTCCAATTTGGCAAAGTAAACACAGTCATCATATGAACAGAAATGTTCTTAATAAGCTATGGAAGGGAATTGCTGGATTGTTTCCTGATATGGAGGGTGAGTAAGCGCTCGTTCAGACATGCGGGAATCGTGCGTTTACGAATCGCGCGGTTTGTAACCGCAAAATTCAGATGCTATTCAGACACGCGCGGTTAGTATGCGATTTCGTGCATGTAGCGTCAGTTTCAAAATGGAGGTCGACGAAGAAGTGTGTTTACTGTGGTTGTTGCTCCTTAAAAAAAAGAAAAGAAAAAGGCGGTATTGGGTGCATCCAATATTACGTGACCGACTAGTACATGGTCAGTTCGTAACGTTATATCCCAAATTAAGAATGTATGATAACAAATTTTTTTACTATTTGAGAATGTCAATAAAATCTTTTGATGAACTAATTGAACTGATCAGGCAAGATGTTTCATGCTCTGAAACGCATTTGAGGCCAAGCGTGTCACCGGAAGAGAAACTCGTAATAACTTTAAGGTAAGATTTATTTATTGTTCTTCAAAATCAGCATAAATATTTTCTATAACTGTAGAGGACTGAGAGCCAGAACTAAATTGCGATGGTGACGGTGACGGTGCCGGAACAGGAGGAGATGATCCAGATGTAGTAAAATATCCTTGCGGGCTTGTATACTGTTGTCCTTGCCAATACGTAGGTGTGATTTGCTGATTATTGTAGCGAACAGGGGGTGGTAAGATTTGTCCTTTTTGTATCACTTGAAGCAATTCAATTTTGGTTGCTAAACGCCTATTTTCTGGTACTTTTTTGAGTTCTTTATATAACGACAAACAAAAGAGTTTGTCGTCATCTTGCTTGGTAATACTTTTTTCTTGAAGTTCATTCTCAAAATGTTTTCGTGACTCGATACTTTTTTCTATTAAAACAGCTATTTTTTCTTCTGGCACTTGTGTTTTCTTACGTTTAGGGGGACGTATTTCAGTGGCTTCGGTTACATTGGCGTTTAGTTGACTTGTCTCCTCACTTTGCCTTTCATTCTGTTCTTCAATATTAGTTGTAGTGTCTTTATTACTTACACTATTCTGCAGGAAAGATAATCTTGCAAAATACATATATTGGGCTCCTTTACGAGCACTTGAACCAGAAGGAGTTGTTTTTCCTTTTTTGTATTCTTTATTGTAGCAATCTCGTATGTTTTTCCATTTTTTTTGGAGTTGTGTACCTAAAAATAATAACATTATTAATAATATTCTTGTTTCAGATATCTTGGTACGGGTTGTTCATTTGGAGAACTAAGCTACAATTATCGTCTAGGAAAATCGACGATTACTGGAATTGTCCGCGAAGTATGTAAATCATTGTGGAATAAGTTGGTAAACATAGTTATGCCAGAAGCGACTGAAGATATCTGGAAGGCAATAGCACGAGACTTTGAGAGATATGCAAATTTTCCAAATTGCATTGGTGCTATAGACGGCAAGCATATCAGAGTTATAAAGCCTGTTGATTCGGGTTCTTTGTATCATAACTATAAACATTTCTTTTCCATAGTGCTCTTAGCACTTTGCGACGCCAACTATTGCTTTACTTATGTTGATATTGGAGCTTATGGCAAAAGCAGTGATTCTGCTATATTTAAAAATTCGGTGTTTTATAAACGCCTGACAGAAAAATCATTAAACATACCAACACCTAAACCAATATCTAATGTACACCTAACACCAATGCCTTATGTTATAGTTGGAGATGAAGCCTTCGGCTTAGCAGAAAATTTAATGCGCCCATATTCAGGCAAATGTTTACCATATGAAAAAAGGATTTTTAACTATAGGTTATCGAGAGCCCGACGTAATATTGAGTGCACTTTTGGTATTTTGGCGAACAAATGGCGCATCTTTCATAGACCTATAAATGTAAACATAGATTTTGCCGAAGACATAATAAAAGCCTACAATATAATAAAAGTTCTACATAACTATGTGCGGACTAGAGATGGTCTAAAATTTAAAGATACTTTATATAATGCACCCATGACTAATCTCAATACCTTGCATGCGGGAAGAGGGACACCGTCATCTTTGAATATCAGAGATAAATTCGCTCATTACTTTGTGAACGATGGGCGTGTGCCATGGCAAGACAAAAAGATATAGCTGCAACTAACATACCGTACTTGTAATGTTTAGGTACATGACTAAATGTAAACAAACGAAATATACTCCTTCATTTGAAAAATGCTCGAAATGCCTGAAGCAGCCGAAGTTTGTTTATATTTATTTAAGTACCTAAAGTATACGGAGAGTATAATATACGCTTCGTAACAATAATTATAACATAATTCTGTCAATTCTTTTGGTGAATAAACCTACTTACTTAAAATATTCTTTTTTTCCACAGTGTCTTCGCAATTTCCGAATATCTCCACCAACTCTTGCCAAGCTCGGTTCTTGATAATTTTATTTGAGTAATCATCACACTGAATGTCCCATATTGCAGGTCTCTTCTCCACCTCATCAATAAATAGTTCAGTGTCGAAACGATCCATGGCGAACTCACGAGCAGTGACGTGCTCACCGCGCGGTATCCGCAACGCAACTGAACGCGAAGTAAAGACTCCATAGTAATAAAAACGCGCGGGAGCAGCGCGATTCTATTTTCTGGCGGTTGGGTTGCGGTAACCGCGCGGCTTGATTAACCGCGCGGTTATGTCTGAACGATTACTAACTAATTCATATAAATAAGACCCGCGCGATTTCCATGCGATTCTATAATCGCGCGGTTCCCGCCGTGTCTGAACGAGCGCTAAATGAAATACCTATTGTCATATTTGCGGGTATTTTAACCTTTTTATTTCCTGGAGGCTACAAAAGAAACATAATACAAAGGCAACTACGTATATATTAAACAATTGTTTTCCCAAAAATATTTCGTAAATAGATTCCGAACTTGTTTAGCCCGATTTGATGGATTGTTGTTTCTTCCAGTTCTAGTTTGTCGCCTTTGCTACCGAGTTCGAGTTGTGAATCACAATCGTACCCATCTTTACCAATAACAATATTATGCAAAAAGCAAGCGGTTTTTATATTCAGGCGTGCAGGTTTAACTTCAGTTTCAATAGGTTTTAACAGAACTCTACATATTTATTGCATAAAATTCCAAATGCACACTCCACTGTTTTTCTTGCTCTTGACAATCTATTATTAAATTTTCTCTCTCTTGATTCAATTTTCTTTGTGGATATGGACGCATTATATATTCTTTAAGATGATAAGCGTCATCGGCCACTATTGTAGTGTATTTTTTTTTTAGCAATTACGTTAGATAAAGTAGGGTTTCAGTGAATAAAAGATTTAAGTCTAGTTCAGACACTTTATGTGGTTTATTGATGCTGTTTTCATAAAATTGTTAAATCTAAACTGTTTAAGACAACTATTCCACTATTCCTTAACGGACAATAGCTTAGGTACTAGCTTTACAGGGTTCAAGGTCGGTGTGCTTGGTTGATAACAAAGGTACAAACCTTTAATAATTAAAGTATTAGGAAATTATATTACTTGGATCCTTCACTGCTTTATCGAGGGTGGAGTTCAGGATTTCACCGAGCTTATCCCGTACTCACCACACCTTCTTTTTATGTTACCACGTGTATCACGTAGCACTATTCTCCATCAAAATACAACTCCAATATACGCATCCAATATACGCCTCCTGTAACGGAGTTACATAGTTACACATCAACACCAATTCCTTAAGCAAACACATTTGCGGAACCCTATTGGTTTCGGGCTACCTTGGCTTACCTGTCGGAGGAAAATAGGCCTGCCAAGCTTTTATTGTCTAATATCAACTCCAGGCATGGAAATCACAACAATTTTAACAACACATGTAAGGTTGCCGGTGGTCGCCACGACAAAATAACCTCATACGTTCATGTGAACTGGGTGGAATCTGAAAGAAAACGAGTCATGAACGATCCGAAACAATCTCGGAAAAACGTAAAAACGAAGGATTATTACTAAACTCACCAAATTAAGTAGATATTAAAGGATTGATTTCCTGCAAAAGGCGACCAGCGACATAAAATTAAAATTACGTCTGTCAAATGGGTTGTCACTACGTGCATTCCAAACTCCCAACTTTTTTAGGGTTGCCAGAGAAAACTTATTAAAGGCCACAAAATTTACCACGTTACACTATAACATATGGAGCTATAAAGCTAGAATTGGGTAATGTTCTTGGTTCTGGAATATGTATTAAATGCACCTCTTTCGAGTAACCGGTTCAAGGACGAAGCATTAAATATACCACCGTCGCTTTGCTTTCCTCTACCTCCGACTTCAATAGTTAAAAATCTTTTCCTCGCATCAGCTACAGCTTGCAAAACAATAGAGAAATAATGCTTGTAATTAAAAGTCCTGATTTTTTAGGTCGTTTAACCCTGCAATGTTTACCGTCCAAACTGCCAGTGTAGTTAGGAAAGTGCCACATCTTTTCATATTCTGAAGCAATATTCTTTTGCTGGTCTTTAGATGGCTGTGGCATGTGGACATTCAATTTTTTTTTTTGCAAATAGCTTCACAGGTACTATAAACAATCTCAGACACAGTACTAACACCCATACGAAAGCTATATGCCAAAGATCGAAATGCTAACTCAGTGGCGAGATAACTGAAACGTAATAAAAAATACAATTATAATGTAAAACTTAAATATATTTACACTAATCAATAAACAACGTTCTGATTTTACAAAAAAGGCTTTAAGAAAAAAATGGAAGAACCTTTGGGACCAATTTATGAAAGAATTTAAGAAAATTCCGGTTCCTCGTTCTGGTGATGCTGGAACAGAAAAACATTTCAATGTGACCATATTTTCAAATGATGCTGTTTTTAAATAAATGAAGGCAATTTAGATGAAACTGAAGAAAACTGCAATAATAATGATGATGATTATGAGCGGTCCTCGACTCCCCAATCCATGGCTGGTGCATCTTCAAGTACAGAGTCTACGAGCACCAAACGTAAATTTGCACAAGATATAAGACAGGATTTTATGAAATTGGAGAAGAAAAAGTTGGAATTATTACAAATTAAACTGTCACAAAGCAGCGAAAGACAATATTTACGGCCTCTGACATACGTCACTCTCGCTGGCGGTTAATGTGAACACAAGCTCGCAACGTTTCCCACGCCCGCACCCGCCCCCGCGCCCTCGCGTACCTACGTGGTGAATCCATTTTAGTAACATATTTTTCTTCGATGGCTCCTCGCAATATCTTGTTTATAATTTTGACCCAATTGTGCACCTGAAGTCTTATTATTATTTTACAAAAGAAGTTTCTTAAAATCTGGTTTTGTATTGCACTATAGCCCATCCACTCGAGGTCGCATTGATTCAAAAATATTTTTTTAAAACGCTCCCAACATTTTTTTCAAAACAATATTTATTTAAATAATTGTGGACAGTTTGGGAACATTATCCGTAAATTATTATAATTTTTCAGATGAGTATGCCAAATTACTATATTTTAGCGATTTATATTCGCGATGCATAATAAATTTATGTATAAATGATAAATCTTTTGTGGTCAATGTTATTTGACATTTTGCACAATATATATTTTTAATTAATTTTCTACATATATAGCCAGCTACATAAGCTGAACAATGTACTTTCATTTTTCGGAAAGTTTTTTGATTGCCTGGTGCCAAAATGATATATGGCACTATTTAATTTCAAAGCAGTTCTTAATTTGCCTTTGGCGTTATCTCCGGGACGCGTTATCATTCACGCTATCAATTAAGTGGTCGAAGAATTCGACGGCATCAGCCGTTGTTGCCATTGTAGGACTCAGGGAACCGCCATCTTTTCACTTTACTAAAATAAAATCTTTTTTATAAACAAAACTTTTTTATGTACAATAACAATCATTTAGACATATGTAATATAAATTTACTGTTCTCAAATTATATAAGTTTGAGTTCAACATTAAGATATTACTACATATTTAAAAACGAGTTCTTCCGCATATCTGCCTGTTTGTTCACTAAGACCTTGAAAACTACTGATCAGATTTTCATGGGGTTTCATCTATCACAGATAAGAGTGATTCTTAAGGAAGATTAATATGTATATGTAAATACGATGATTAGTCGACGCAGAGTAAGCTACAGGAAAACTAGTTTGTTATATAATTATAACCATTAAAATTAACTTATGATATAGAGTAGATGCAGATATGACTAATTTTGCTGTATGCCCATATATTTGACTTACCAACAGCATCTGTATAACGCAGCATAGCTGCAACTCGTGCACTGAGAACTTGGGTCGCAACACTAATACGCATTTTACGCATGCTCTTCTTATCCACATGCTGTTTTGTCAGTTTCGGTATTGCCCGAGAATGCCCTAAAGTATTATCTATGTCATAAATTGTAATAATGTCCTTCTTTGTTGCAAGTTTTGAATTATATTTCATATCCTTGGCAAGGAAGTTATTACTCACACCTTTGATCAAATGTGGTGGATATAAATAACACTAATAAATAAATGACCCGATATATGTATAGTGTCATCTGAATTAAAATAAATTTTAAATTTTGAACTTCCAATTTAACAATACATATTATAATTGTATTTAATATACAAGCTGATTATAATCAGCTGTAATAAATGTCCTAACAACTCTCACCAATTGCATAACTTTGTGTTATGCAAAGGTAGCGCATGATTGATAATTGTGGAGATTCTTAGTGGAGGCCTATGCCCAGCAGTGGGCGAGATCCTACTGATGATTTGAGTCCTCGATTATTCCATGAGTTAAGCTCCATCTTACCAAATTACCATTTATAAATTATTATAACTTACCACCGAAAATATTATCAATAGTTCTTTGTCGGATTGTTTCCTCTCTTAATTTATCAATTGCTGTTCCAAATGTAGAACCTTGGTCACAAATGAATGTCAGTGGCAGCAGACCAGATTGAGCCACTTTTGCAACTACTTCTTCTAAAATAGATTTTAGTTCCACCGCAGCTGTGGTCCCTGAAAATATTGTAACATATATGAATCAATTAAGCAAGTCTTTTAAACTCTTTTAAAGATGACCATACTCCTCGAATCATTACAACTAATACATGATCGCAGTATTTCATTTTTCTTTGTCCTGCAATATCAGAGAAACCATATATGATGTCTTTCTCTTCGTTGTATGTTAATTGGGTATTGATAGATACTCGTACCTCGGCAAAAACAATGGAACAAAGTCTTATCTGTGTTTCACTTTTGTCATTTTTCTTTTATTACCCTTAGAATGTTGTCATTTATCCCTGTATCAAAGACAATTTTTTCAGATAATCTGACCAAAGTTCTTTAACTGTGTACTGAAAACATATGTCTTAAAAGTTTATATCTTTTTCTGCTTTGCTTAAGTATGGTAAGACATAATAACTTTTCCTGCAAATCATAGCGTCGAGCTGCTTTTCCACTTCTGATTGATTTTAATAGCATTCTAATAAATGTTTTGGTATGATTATTTAATTT